AGTAGTAGTAGTAGTAGAGAGAGAGAGAGAGAGAGAGAGAGAGAGAAAGAGAATCCAATTCTTAAAGAAAGGAGGGAGAGAGGGGTGATTCTACAAGAAATAAATATGAATGGGTTCCTAGCTGACCTTGTAAGATCTGAGGGAGAGGTTTCTTGTTATAAAAGAATTTTAGTCAAAAACAGGAATTGGAGTGTTGAAAAAGCTTCGTGAGAAAGAGATAGGGAAAGCAAAAATTAGGTCGAAACAAAAGAATAATTGGCCATAGAAGAACCCCTGAGACCACAAAATAAAAAAAACTGAGCCAGTGAAATCCTAAAACTAAATTTGGAAAGTCTTTCTCGAGAGCACAACTAGAAAAAGAAAAAGAAAAAGGGCATCTAACAACAGTGGTTGTGAGCTCAAAAATATGAAAAACACTTAAACCCATTTTAGGTTAGAACAAGTTTTAGAAGAAGAAAATAACCCTTACGTACCGAATAAAAAATAAATCCTAAAAGTCATGCCTCTGTTACTAGGGCCATGGAACATAGAGTCTGTAAAAATATGGAAAAAACAAAAATTAAATGGCCATGGAAGAAATCTTGAGGCCACAAAATAAAAAAACTGAGCCAATGAAACCCTAAAACTGATTAAGGAAATGTTCTTGAAAATACATCAGACAGAGAAGAAAAGTACACTAAGTATTCTAAGATTTCTAACAGAATATGTTAAAAGAAACTGATTATGAATCAATTTTGTGAAAATTTCACAGAATCAGTTGCAAATGAACCTCTGAGTCAAAAACTCTGGGGATGAAAAAAATCAAAAGAATATAAAAATTCCTTCCTAATGAAAAAAACAAACTAGATTCTACACGAGCAAGCAGCTAAAATTTCAAAGAATTCACCATAAAATAAATAAACCCTAAAACGATCTATTACCTATGATTAGGGGCACTACATTCCTGGTTGTTGCCATCTCCTCTTCCAAATTTTGCCAAAAAGCAACATCTCGATATAACAGAAGAAAATAAAAAATGGACGTGCATTTAAAAATTAGGGTTTTTGCTACTGTGAGAAGAGTGAACTAAGAAGAGAGCAAGAAAAAACTAGTCCTATCTCCCTCTCTATCACTAACCCTTCTTCTCTCTATTCTTCTGCCTCTTCTCTCTTCTTTCCTTCTACTTCTCTCTATTCTTCTACCTCTTCTCTCTTCTTTCCTTCTACTTCTCTCTATTCTTCTGCCTCTTCTCTCTTCTTTGTCTCTCTTCGTCCCTCTATACTTCTGCCTCTTCTCTCTTCTATCTCTCTTTTCTTTCTCTCTCTTCTTCTCTCTTTCTCTCTCTAAGCTCGTTAACTTTGGTTTTCAAATGGCATCGTTCTTGTCCGGTCGAGATACATAAAGGCACCCCTCTCAACGGTCATTTGTTTGTGACGGTTCATTGGTTGGGACATCGGACTCTGCCAAAACTACATCCAACGGTTGGCAACTTCTTTCAAAATTCTCTCTCTCTATGTCCCTCTCTCTCTAGGTAACATTGGCTGGCATACATAGTAAGGCCCCGGTTTCTACGTGGCCAAGGTCACATATGTAGAAATACGGACCTCTTTATAAATCTATTTTTGAGATAGATTTGAAGGCTTAATTTTTAAAAACACGTTATCTCTAATATGGAGATCATTAACATGAAAAAATAAATAAATTTTAAAAATTAAAATAATAATCTTAATAAAAAAATATTTAGACCATTAATTTTTATTATTTTGCATCCATCTTTAAGATGGATGCTTTACACGTCTTGGACCGCATATGTAGAAATGCGGTCCAATTTGCATGAAACAATTTTCCTCATGATAATTATGGAGACATAGTAATTAGAAAGGGAAAGGGCTTCTACGAGTCATGGGACTCATAGGACTTATATATAGAGATGAGTCATCTCTTAAAAATTCATTTTTGAGATAAATTTTAGACTTAATTTTTAAGGAACATATAATCTTTAATGAGGATATCATGAATTTATTAGAAAAACAAATTTTAAAAATTAAAACAGATAATTTTATGAAGGAAATATTTAGACCATTGGTTATAACTTTTTCGAGAGAAACCACTCATATGAATCCATCTTTAAGATTGATGTTTTATACCTCTGGGAATACAAATTTAAAAATTCGTCCCCTGGTGCATACAACAACTTTCCAATATGAAGATGGTGATACATCAAACAAAAATAAATTTGAGAAAAAGAAAAAAAAATAGAAATCTAGAAAAGATGCGGTCCCTCCCACATACACATGGAAGGGACTTACAACGGTACTCCTGTAGATGTACAACATACTTGTATTTCCTGGAGCACAAGACTGATTTCTTTGACTAAATTTCAGGAGAAAAAAAATGCGTTCTTTCGCCTAGATTTCACAATTAAGTTGAAAGCTCATTTCTTCGATATAAATTTCAGGAGAAAAAAAATGAGTTCCTTCGCCTAGATTTCACAATCAAAAGTGGACTAAGTTAAAAGTTCAAATTATATCTTAGCTCTTTTTCCCTTAAGGGTCAAACTATTTTTTTTGTTAATTGAGATGTAGTTCGGTTCTCGTACTTCCAAGCATATTGCTATATTGTTGGTTGGTCCTTTTTGTTCCCATCTAATGACCCTTTTTTGGTTTGAGCAACTAGGTTGATAGAGCATGATAGCTTTCTTATGATTTAAGAAGTTTGGATTTATCTTTTGTCATATGGATGAGTTAGAAGTTAAAAGAGCTCTTGAGCAAAGACATTGGAGAGCAATCCATTTTTGCAACTACAAAAAAGTGTTTGCTTAAGTTTAATAGTAATTTTTTGTAACTACACCTCTAAGGGAAGAAGAAGCAATCCGTTTGGCTAAATGTTTGCTTAAGTTTAATAGTAATTTTTTGTGGGCTAGAATTTCCTTGGCTTCACTCTCGGAAAAATTTCTAAATCGAAAAGGTAAGCGTGTGAACATGTTTCTTGGGGCAAATATGAGTTGCAATGGCAAAGTTTGACTGAAAGTTTCCCATAACTTATTGTAGTTGAGCCTGAAATTTGCTAAATTTGGTTTGCACTATGACCAGTAGTTAACCTAGATGCATAGGGCACCAATCTGAACTAACTGTCAAATTTGGGCATCTCATTCAAATTAGGATGAAAATACATCAGAATTCTCTCATATCAAGTTATTTTCAAAATCTCACACAGACAATGGGGGCTCCAATCTGTATGGTCTGAATTTATTTGAAACTTTGAACTTCCATCAACTTTAAAACTAGGCAGACACATCTAGTATTTTTAAAGCTCTTGGGCATTCGTATGATTTTATTTTCGTGAAAACATTTTCACATGATAGAACTACCCCATGTGATTCGGCATAGAAATTTTTTCACACCAATTGGTTATCAGGGAAAATTTTGCCATAAAGATGGCAGCCAATTGGTATGAAAAAATTTTCATACCCAATCACATGGGGGAGGTCTTTACGCGAATTTTGTTTCATACAAACCAAACATGCAACTGCTTCAAAAGGACCCCTACCTAATAAGTGAAAACTAGCAATCCAAATTGAAATCGCTGAATTCATTGGGAACCAGTAGTGACCAAGTTAGTTCCTAGTCAGAATTGGAATCGGACAGAACTGGCTAGTTTTGTCATATCAGTTCCGACATTTTTTTTTTATTTTTTATCGACCGATTCTCTTCCAAGAGAATTGGAGGAGAAAATCGGTCGGTTCGTTGATCTAGATCGATGATTCACCGACATCGGCTAATTCCAATGGAACGGATTGATTCTATGATAGAATTTGCCGGTTTTGTCAAGGGCCATATCATCCAATTCCCAAAAAAAAAAAAAATTTATTTTTTATTTTTTGAGTTTTTTATTTATTTTTTATCGACCAATTCCCTTGGGGCGTGTTTGATAACGGGAAAGTAGTTCTTAGAAAATGGAACTTACTTATTACTATTCATGTTTTGTTTGTTCTTTCGATATTTGAATGGATGCCTAAGCAGTCTTGCTTTTCAATCTCTTACTAGATGCACTAAACATGTAATTTTTTAATTGTGTGAATGGATCCTTTCTAATTACGGCATCGATGGACATTAAAGATCGCCACAATCTGATTTGGATTTTTTATTTATTGTGAAGGCCTTCTCAACATGAAAATGCAGCCATTCGAACAAAAATTTAGTCCTTTGTGTTTCTTTTTTTTTTTGTCAGATTGTTGATGAGTGGATGCCCAAGATTTGTCTTTTTTCTCTCTTGTTAGATGGGTATAAGTGATTTTTTTCATCACAATTTATATCATATGTTTTGCTCTAGGTTGTTTTTTTTGCAAAAAATTGGTGTATTTGATCTGCTATTGACAACTGAAGGAATAGATAGTTCATGGCGTGAGATTTATTGAAGTACTTGTTTTTAACTTTTTAGGGAGTTTTACATTTACTCTCTATTGACATTTTAGGGCGTGAATGACTGTTTTGGGAAACCTGTGCTCTACATTTTGCAACTTTCACTATCACTTGTTAATCTTCCATCATGTTATCAAACACAGAAACCAGGAATTTTTTTAACTTCCCAAGAGGTTATCAAACACGAAAATCATGACTTTCTTACAGTAACTTCTATCTTCCCAGCAAGGAGGAACTTCCAATTTATAGTTCATAAACTTGCTTCTAGTTATCAACCAGGCCCTTGGAGAATTGAAGAAGAGATCAATTGGTTCGCTGATCCAGATCAATGAATCATCGACCTAGACCTCTTTCCCAGATGGCCGACTCACCTAACTGAACGTTATAACACTATTAACCCAAGTGTGGTTGTTATATTGTACTTGGTGTTCATCAGTGAGAGGTATAATTGTTTTGATTCCACTATCGTCAAACATAAAGTGGGTAAAATCAAGATATGTATCAAGATAATTTAGATAAGGAAATATATACAATAACACAATTTATATTTTGTATAAGGAGCTCACAGCCACTCCTGGCTGTTAGATTTCAAATCAAAAGGCCAAGAGTGTGTGATTGATTAAGCTGAAAGTTAAAAAAAAAAAAAATTGAACTCTAAGGTATATTTTAAGCTATTCGATTTGACATTTAATGGCTAGGATTAGTTATGATCTATTTGTTCCAAAGATAGATCGTCTTATGTTATATAATCCGTTTAGATCATCATCATCAGCATCATAACTTTTTTTCAAAACTATTTGGGATCGGCTACATGAGTCATGGTTTGCCATTATGCTCTATCATGGTCCATATCCTCAGTGAAGCCATAAGTTCTTATATCTTTTCTCACTACTTTCAACCATGTTCTTTTGGGTCTACTCTTTTATCTTTTGTTAGCGTTTTATTTGAACCAACTCACACCGCCTAACATATGTTGTACTAGGTTTGCACCACACATGGTCAACCTACATAATACTACTTTATCTCATTTTATCGCATATTATTAGAGCACACCCAAGTTCTCCTGAATATATTCATTTCAAATTCCACCCATTCTTGTCTTGCTACTCATCCATCTCATCAGCTACACTTATCCTATAGATATGTTGTTTCTTGGTCACCCAACATTCACCCTATAAAACAAAGCTGGTCTCACAGCTATCCTATAGAACTTGACATCCAGTTTTATTGGATATAAACCCTTTAGATAATGGGGCAATACGATTGATCTTCTCTGAATCGGATATGCCACACTATTAATCTATCTGTATGGATTCATATCAACCTAAAAAGTTTGAATAGTTTCTAAACCGGTTATAAATTCGTTCATAAAATAATTGTCCATTTGGACATAGATTTTCATTCTTTAAGGGCCTGCCTTGATTTCTCATCAGCTGATAGCTAGAGTATAAGTTCAGCACTCATCTTTCCAGTTTGGAAGGACCACTACCATGATTAGAAGTACCTATATAATTAAAATCACATATTGATCATTCTGACCTCGACATTTATGGTTTTGAAAAACAAAAAAGATTTTCAACCTGAAAAATAATGCATCTTGTAATATATTACGAGGACCATCAATTTTCTAGTGGTCACAAATCTGTTGGATCCGCACCTTTTTTTTGAAGTGTCCAAATTCATAATCAATAGTGAAAATAGGTATTTACGAGCAGTTTAGAGGTGTAGCCCAACAACTTTATTTTTAAGGAAATGTATACAAAGAGACCACTTGCTTTTAGTACAATGCGGTCACAATTGTTATTGACCATTAGATGTAAAATTGAATGGATAGGGATTAAGCACAAATCCCCACATGAATTTTCTTGAATGTTGTAAAACATTTGAAGTTGTTGAATTTCACATCCAATATTTAAAAATTATTGTGACCTCTTTGTACTAAAAATATGGTCTTATAATATAAGATCCCTATTTTTAATTGTACTAAGCCTCACGCTAATAATTCTCCTAAACAATTTATTGGAACGTAACATGTTTTGAAAGTGAGGCATGCTGTTATATATGCCATTGTTTATTGTGGGATGAGCTTGTTTAAGGTGACCTCCTTATAACCATAGAAGGCACACATCTAAATTTTGTTCGTAGATGTAGTTTTGGTGTCGAAAATCTTATGATAGCTTAAAAATCTATCTTTATCCCTCGCTATAAAATTTAAAATTCAAAAAATGGCAGTCCAGTTAATTTTTAAAATTCTTTTTTTTCTTGATATCTACTCATCTTGAGGTTGAGATAATCAAATTACAGTATTATCCAACATCAGAATACTCTCTTCTAGATGATCTTTAAGTGCACCTTACTTCAATAGTACAAAATTTGCACCTTGTATAATTTTTTTCTTTTATTACAATTAGAAATTTATTAATAAGAAGCCTCTTCATGGTCCCTTGTTGCACCTAGTGTGTTGTTTGTACAAGTAATTAGTCCTAAAGAAATAAGATGCAAATAAAAAAGGAAAATTGTTTCATGTGGGCTTGATCGCATGACTACATATGCGGTCCAAAAAGTATAAAGCATCCATTTTAAAGATGAATGCAAGTAGGTGTTCCATCTAAAAACAATGGAAATTAACGGACCAAATGTTTTTACAATAGAATTATTATTTTTAGTTTTTAAAACTTACTTATTTTTTCATATTCATGATATGCATGTTAGAGATTACATGTCTTTAAAAATTGAGTAAAAAATCTATCTCCCGCATTTCTACATATGCAGGCTTGGCCGTATAGAAACTGGGTCCAATGAAAAAATCCACTTTTTTCACTTATCATCATTTTGGAAACCGATAGTGCATCCACTGCCACATATCCTACATACCATAGAAAAGCGAGGTTAGTGATTAATAGTTTCAAATAAAAGGAAACTATTAATTAAAGGAAAAGGGCCATATAGATCATCAACCTGGTATAATTTCAACAACAAAAAAAAAAAATCATCGAGCTTTAAATGCAAAATTTGGAATACAAAAAGAAAGTGCACATAAAAAACCCTCCTTTTTATACATAAAAAGGTGCACATTAAAAACTTAATAGAATAGTTGTTTTGATGCTACAAAACCAACCTGAAGACCTAGGGAAAATTTGAAATAAACATAATATCAACGATAAAATAATGCATCTTGTAACATATTATGTTTAAGAAGGGTGAGGACCTTACACTTTCCCTTAACCCGTTCAAAACCCCGGTATAGGAGGTGAGTTGCGTTCAGTAGACAGCCAGCGTAAAACTTTACAATATCTTATAATGAATCGTGAACCTATAGAATGGACAACAAGACATACTATATGCACCATCCTTTTTTTTCAAATCATTTGTCAAAATCTTTAAAGTACTCAACAATCTCATTTAACATTACAATTGTTGCTTTCTAAATTTATTCTCTGGTACCTACTTAAAAAAAATATAAAAAAAAAAAACTTAAAAATTTTATAAATTGCCCTTATTCAGGTTGGAAAGGATGAAAAATCCAATATTGTTTTAAGTAATTTGAATCCCAAGGGGCCCCAACCCACTAAAGGAAATAACTTTCCTTGGTCATAAATAACGAACACACACCGGATTAGTAATGAGGAAGAACAATGAGTATTTTTTATTGGCACCCGGATGCCTTGCATTTATCATTACATATCTACCCCTAATTGTTCCTTGTTAGGTGTTTTTTTATTTGTAATCCTTAACAAGCCATGATGTTTTTGTCATTCAATTAGGGCTTCTTGAGGTCAATTGAATGAAATGCCCCAATTATCTATCCTTCTCAACCTTGAAGACGGGCAGTTTGGAAATTTTTAATATTTTTTGGAGAAGGTAATGCAATATAATCATTTATATAATTTTATATATTTATGGGAAAAGTTTATATAGAGTTGAGGCTCTAAACAATCAAATAAAAGCCTACGTCAAAAATTTCAGTGGAAGTGGTTGTTTTAATGCCCAAATATCCTCAAATTGATCATTTCGACATCAAAACGTGTGGACACGAGAAAAAAATGGATTTCAAGTTTTAAAATAGTATATTTTATAACACATTTTTGGACCGTCAATTTTCAAAATTTTCAAGTTTTTCTCAGATCTGTCGATCTACACTATTTTTAAGCTGTAAACTTTATAAATAAAAATAAAAATATACTTTAAGGCTATCACAACGATTTCTAGTGTTGAAACCACATTTTCATACACTATTTAAAGGTGTGCTCTAATTTGATTGTTTAGAGCCAAGGCTCTATACAATTTTCAAGATAAAAATACTGCTTATTATTGAGGATTAGCAACATCGAACTCACTTCTTTTAACTGTCAGCAACATCGAACTCACTTCTTTTAACTGTCAGCCTTTGTTCCATAATGCTAACCCTAGACAAATAAGAATGTTTTTATTATTTGGCTGGCCTAACTAAGTGGACTTTAAAATACATATGTTAAAGGTCCAACAAAAGCAATTCGGTGATTTGTTACATTTAGATGATTTAAGGTCGTTCGACCATTTAATTCATATTTTAGTTATTGTAATTAGATAAGCAGTATGTAAATTTTATGATAAGGAAAAGTATCCTGTCCACATTATATGGACCGGTCACGAGCCCCGTTCTAGTGGTTGAGAATCTTGAGATCTGATATGGCCATATCCAACAGCTGAAATTAGTTTCGTATTTTATTTTTTATTTTTTTATTTTTTTATTTAAATAACATATTTATCTGAATTTTATAGTGTAGATTCTATAAATATAATTAAAAAAATTAAAAATTAATTTAAATAAAAAGACCAAAATACCTCTAAATTTAATTCTGACAATATTTTTATTCAAAAATATTTTTTTATTAATTTTATTCAATCTGATAAAAAATAAAACTAAAACCGAAGTTTTAGATTAAAACTATTTTTTAATAAAAATAAAAATTAAGACTGATTATTGGCCCTTGGATGATCATGCTTCAATCTAAACCATTAAAAGGTGTGTGGACCTTGCGTCCACATGCTGTGGAGGCAATACCACCCCAACAAGGAAGTAATAATGTAATCTTTATGACCCCTGCGGAGTCCACCAAGCAGTAACACCGTAATGGCAAAAGTAGTTAAATAGTAGCCAAAACATTGTACGCTCCCCCGGGAGCGTAATCCATTGGCTTACTCGTGCACCTATGGTGCTCTCATCCTATGAGATAACAAAGAGTACCGTTACGCGATGGGGTTAATTAGAGCTCAGGATCTAAACAATCAAATTAGGGCCTCCCTCAAAAATTTAACTAGAAGAGATTCTTTTGACGCCCAAATATCCTCCGATATCAAGATGCATGGACATGGGAAAAATGGATTTCAAGTTTTGAAAATAATTTATTTTGTAATACATTTTTGGATCATCAATTTTCAAGTTTTCATAGACTGTCGATCTACACTATTTTTTGAAGTTTTACATAAATAAAAATGAAAATATATTTTAAGGCAATCACAAAGATTTCTAATGTTAAAACCACATTTCTCGACACTATTTAAAGGCAGGCTCTAATTTGATTGTTTAGAGGCTAGGCTTTATACAAACGGCACCCCGCCATAGGGGTATTAATGTACATCCATTCTCTTGGTCATATGAATTGTTTCATGCAGGCTGGACTGCAATTTTGCATATGCCCTCCGGAAAGTGTAAATAGGTGCTTGAACTAAAAATAGTGGTAACTAAAGGTTCAAATATTTTTTTATTGGAATTATTATTTTTAATTTTAAAAATTATTTACTTTTTTTATATTCATGATCTCCATATTATAGATTATAAGTCCTTAAATTAAGTCTTAAAATCCATTTAAAAAATATATTGATTAATAGGCCCGGATTTCTATTTGGGATTTTTTTTTTTTGGGAACTTAATAATTTACTTTGAAAAGAAGAATTTTGAATTTTGAGTTTTCTAAAATTAAATCTTTTCTCTAAAATTTGGAATGCCTCTTTTGACATTTTTTTTAGAAGTGCATAGATATTGCAATTAGAAAATTTTTATTGAGCTTAATATAGAGATTCGACATGTTGCTTCCCCAAAATTGGAGGTCCTAAATTTAATCCCAATTCAACTTTTACCATAAGGAGTAAAAGTAGGACTCTTACGTCAGATCTACCTGAGAAGAAAACGAAAGGTTTTTTTGCTAGGGCTCGCAATGGCTAGCCCGGCCCTGTTGACCTGAGTGCCGGTGCAGACCCGGCTGTGCTGAGTAAAATTAAATGAAAAAAATGTAAAAAAGATAAAAAAAAATGGACCTGGCCAGGTCGAACTGCACCGAACCCGACCCTCGAGCCACATTTTGTGGCACACGGCCGAGCGTTCCTATCCGGGGCATTACCACCTAATCTTTTCGAATTTCTTCGATGTCATCTCCTTTTACATAAGGCCTAAAGTACAGGCAGCAAAAGCATGGGCTTTCTCACTCTATCGTCTCCGCTCTCTCTCATACCAGAGTGCTAGCTCACCAATAATGGCCGCTCTCTCTCTTTTACCACTTCCTTCTCTCTCTTCTCTCTCTACAAAGAAACCCATTCACATTAGAAAACATGGGTTCTCTATGTTCTCGAAGAGACTCTCTTTATCTCCTGTAACCGCAACTCCAGATAATGGAGCAGGTCTGGTGGGTTCTACTGTTGTGGAGGAGAAACAAGTAAAGGAAGAAAACCCACCTCCAAACTTGGAAGAGAAAAGAGAAGCCCAAAGTTTGAATGGTGTGGCTACTGTTGCCCCTAAATTTGGAGACCCAAGGTGGGTCAAGGGATCGTGGGACCTGACACAGTTTGCAAAGGATGAGAAGACAGATTGGGATACTGTCATTGATGCTGGTAATGGCGTTTTTCTTTTTTATGTCTCTGTTTGTGGGGTTTTTTCTTCCATTTTTGCAATTTGGGTTCCCCTTATTTTAAGTGGCATTTTCGTTCTATGTTTTTTATCGAACTTGTGAGAATTTTTTTCTGGATTCTTTTTACATTCTTCGTTAATGGATCAAGTTTCATACACAAATGGATTCTTTTCTTGGGTTTTCTTGTAGCTTCATATTGTTCCTATGGAGGAAATTTGTCTCATTTTTCCTGTTTCTCCTTTTCTTATAATTTGGAAATTCTTCACGTATTTTAGTGTCTTGATATTTGGCGAGGGAGAGAGAGATTTATGGTAGTAGGTTCAAAGGGGCTTGGTTCCTGGGCTTATTTTGACACCTCGTTGCATTTTCTTAATTATTTTGAAATAGTTGTGGGATTTCTTTCTAAATTAATATAGTTAAGTTAGTAAAATGCATCATGTTTCCTTTTTCTTTATAATATTTGAGCTAGTCCCTTTTTTTTTCTTTTTCTTTTTGGTGTGGAATTCAGTATATTGACAGAAATATCGATTTGGGGTCATGATATCTCCTTTGCTTTGTAAAGAGGCATGTAGAATGTCTGCAGCCTTAGAGGCCTTTAAAATAACAAAGTTTTCATACAAGTACAACTGTTTTATATTTTGTTCATTTTTTCAGTGCATCTCTTCTGAAAATCTCTTTTATTTTCATGTGTTTGGAATCTGATAACCTCTTGGAACTCAGAGGTTAAAAGACGGAAATGGCTTGAAGATAATCCAGAATCTTCGAGCAATGATAACCCTGTGGTGTTTGACACCTCCATCATTCCTTGGTGGGCATGGGTCAAAAGGTTTCACCTTCCAGAGGCTGAGCTACTTAATGGTGAGTCCTGTTTTTTTGTGTTTTTTATATCCGTAGCAGTAGTATTCCTTTTCTTTTTCTTCTTTTGATTAGTAACCACATGTTGATCAAGTAAAAGCACATGTGTATTTTCAAACGAAGTTCATCATGCATTATTCTTGAAGGGACTCAGTGAGGAAGATACTCACTATGGATTTCGGAGTTTCTAAGTTTCATCATGCATTATTCTCCAAGTGACTAAGAAACAGTCAAGCTATCTTGCCATTGTTTTCCTAATTGCATTTATCAGATCGAAAGATGCTCCTTGGTGGTTCTGGATTCCAATCCAAAATTTTCATCATAGATCATTCTATTTGCTTTGTGATTGAGAAACATTGAACTTAACTGGCCATTATTTCTTGATTTTGCAGGCCGTGCTGCTATGATAGGGTTTTTCATGGCTTACTTTGTGGATAGCTTGACAGGCGTTGGCCTTGTGGATCAGATGGGCAATTTCTTTTGCAAAACTCTTCTTTTCATTGCAGTGCTTGGAGTTCTTTTCATCCGAAAGAATGAGGACATCGAAACCCTAAATAAACTTGTGAAGGAGTCGACATTTTATGATAAGCAATGGCAAGCGACATGGCAAGATGAACCATCTGGTGATTCAGAGAAAGACTAGTTGCCCCATGAATCCCTCCCTTTCTATATGACCCCTATTACTTTACTTTCTTGTATTTTATCCATATTTCATGTCTTTTATGTAGAGGAGAGTTTTGCTTTTATTTTCCTTTTCCTTTAGGAATGGAGTTATATTGTTGTCTTTAAAGAGTTTAAAGCATCTCATCATCTCATGTTTCAATTAGAATAATTTGTTTCCACCTCAGCGTTCAATTCAGTGAATCATTTTGATTGCTTCATCATCTTCAGTTCTTTAAATTATGATGATGATAATTTGCCAGAGTTTGTTTCCAGAGTTATTTAAGAATTGTTGGTTCAAACAACTATATTTAGTTTATACGCGACCTGTCAGATACAGTCGATGTATGGCTCTTACACATTTTCTAAATAAAACTTCAATAAATCACAGGTGATAAGTATTTTTATGTTTTTATGTCACTTCTTTACTCCCACTCCTTGTTTTCATTAATTGTCCCTTGGAGTTACTCAGCCATCAAAAAAGATTATTGTTTTGCATTCAGCTTGGACTGATCAAACCTGATGTTCTGCATTAATGGGGTAAAATTAAATAGTCCTATCGAATACATGATTATATTGCTGCAATTTGGCACTGCCGAAAATGTTGAATATGAAATGAGTTGGAATATCTCTAGAATTTAAGAGGCTGTTTTCTTGTTAACTTTAAAATTTAAGCCCATTCAAAACTATCCTCTGATTGATGCTTCCCATTGCGATTAGTTTGTGAGTGACTGAAATGGCAATCTGCTTATTCTTCATATCCACCAAATGATCAGCTAAATAATACAATCATCCAACTCCCCACCTTTTCGATGTTGGATAGGACACACCTTATTTGTGAAACATGATTATTCAAGTTGCTTTGAATTTCTCCATGCATCTTTAAAGATTTCAGAACTAGGGAGTTAACCAACAAGAGCATGGGCTGGAATAGCATGTCAACTTTACATCTATAATTATGATATTGTCACTAATTGAACACTAAAATAGAGTGGCAGTATCATAATTATAAATATAACATTGACATGCTTTACCAGCCCATGCTCTTGTTGGTTAACTCCCTAGTTCGGAAACCTTTAAAGATGCATGGAGAAATTCAAGTAACTTAAACAAAGACCTCCATGTGATCTTTATTTATCTAGAGAAAGAGTACCTTAAGAGATAATTTGGTGGGTGTTGGAAGATAAATGAGTCTCTAGATACTATATCGACTTAGTAAAAGATATGTATGAGGAAGTGTCAACTATTGCACAGACAAACTAGTAGAGAGATGAGTGAGTTTTACATCATTGGGCCCATACATCTTTGTCTCAGTTATGAAGGTCTTAACCAAGCGCGTATAAAATACGGTATCATGATGTATGTTTTTTGTAGACGACATAGTTTTGATTGATGAGACTCGAAGAGGCGTCAATCCAAAATTAGCACTTTGGACTGATACTTTACAATCAAAAGATTTAAATTAGTCGGAATAAAACAAAGTATATGGAATGAAAGTTTAGTAATAATGTGGGCAAAGTTGAGGAAGTAGGTAAGACTGACAGTCAAGAAATATAAAAAGAGCACATTTTCGATATATTAGGATGTGCAACTGGAGTTTTATGTGATTGCCATATACTAATGAAGCTGAAGAGGAAATTCCATCATGACATTTGTGAGACCAACTTTGTTTTATGGAGCATAATGTTGGGCGGTCAAGAAACAATATACCCATAGGATGAGTATAGTTGAGATGGGGATATGTTAAGATGGATGAGTGGCAAGACAATAAAGGCAAGAATTCAAAATGAATATATTAGGGAGAACTTAGGTGTGTCTCAAATAGGTGATAGTAGACTTAGGAAGACTGGCAATGTATAGCTAGAACCAATACAACACCTATTAAGAAGCTCAAAAGGACATGGTTGGAAGTATTGACAAAAGATATGAGGATTTATGGCCTCATTGAGGGGATGATCATTGATAGAGCAGAAGGACATACCAAGATTCCTATAGCCGGCCTCAAATAAGTTGGAAAAAGGCTCCGATGATGATTAACAACGTGACTTTCATATGTTTTGTTCTACAAATTAACCATCTAATTATTTCTTATTATTTTTACGAATACTGTAAATCGCAACCCAACAGTAAAATGGAGGGTATGAATAGCACCACGCCATTCTAACAGGCCTGATTGCTGTTAATTTAATGCCATGTAGAGAGGTTCACTGGAATAATTTCAACTATGGCCTTCAGTAAAACTACTACAATACCCAAAGCAAAAAAAGAAAAGAAAGCTATATGTCCCTCCCCCAAACTTTGGTATTACTGTCGCAATGAAGGATGACTAGTTCTATTTTTTGAACATTAAGGATGAGTAGTTCTCTTCCACATTTCCTTGATAAATTTTGGCATGATACATGGGTTCAAAACTGAACAACATATGAAGATGACTACTACATTCTCTTTTGAATCTGCATTGTCTAGGCCGGTTTTTCTTTCCTTACTGGTATCTTCTTGCCATGTTATTTGTATGGATGATTAGTGCATAAATTTGTACAGTTTCTTCTCTAAGTTTAACACTAGGTCATTTTGTGTTTTAGAATATCATATCATGTGGAAAAAAAAAAATCTCTTAACGTAAGCTTGTTATTACTTTGTTACAATCAAGTTGGGAAAGAGTAGTAATCTTAATACTATTAAGAATCCCTGGTTTATATCCAGAATCTTAATATCTTGCAGGATTTTGTACTCTTATATCGCAAATGTGAAGTTATCATCATTTAAATTGCTGGTGCTCTTTTCATTGGTGAGTTCTTAAGACTACACACTTCTATTTCAAAACCTTATGTATTAAAAATAGATTCTCGGGCGATCTCGAGAATATTCGACACCAATGTTGCATCTAGACAGCCTCTTAGGCATACATCAGTTATGCGTTTTTTTATTTTTGAGAGAAATACATCAGTTATGTTAAAGTGATGGACTGCTAAATGTTTATGTAGAGTCCCCACCGGTTAAGATGAGGATGCGCACCCCACTTATTTTCTAATTACTCACATGTTCTTAAGTTTATTTTTTTAATTAATCAAAACCAACTACCAAGTCGTATGTCACTGTAAGTAAATAGAAAATATTCTCCCAAGACATGTTTGATTCACCAAATTGTTTCCTCATATTCACAAAAGAGGAAAAAGTACACACACAAGTGACAAACAAAGGCACTTTTTTAGTAGCCGACCCCAATTAATTGAAAAAAAGCTTTGACCATGATGATGATTGTTAAGAAACATAAACATTTACTCCGATTCTTTTGTTTGTGATTTCTTGTATGGCATCCGACTCCACTTTTGAAGAGCCCCAAGCTTTTGGGTTTGGGGGATTAAGAGAAGAATGACAGGGATTGCAAATAAGAGATTCATGGGCATATCATGGATAGTCTGTCCCATCATACCCACTCCCCTTAAAGCCTCCACAATGTAATACGCCATGAAGAATCCGACCATAGTGCTACCACCTGCAAATGCATATCGTTACTGAGAGAAGCACACACACTCTCTCTCATATATATGCACACGTACACACATGCGCACACAGAATTGTGAATTTAGTATGTTACCATTCGATAATTCTTTGCTGGGCTGGAGAGATGCTGTGAACCAAGCCCACCATGGTATAATAGAAGTGTTGAAGAGTACAGGAGCCTCGTTCAATGACGGTTCCGGATTAACTTCCAGCATCTTCCTTCGCCTAGCCTGTGCAAAATCACATTACACTAACAAAGTTAATGCATTTTAGAGAGTGTATGTGTACGCATGTAGGGGAGAGAGAGAGACCAGCCTTGATGAGAGCATGCCAGTCCATTTTGCCATCTTTATCAGCAAACATTTTGAGGTCCCATTTCTCCATCTCTTGTCTTGAAATCCCTTCATAATCACTCTCTTCTCTTTCATTCCATTGCTATTTCTCCAATGGAATATCCCTAATTTACCTGTTTGAGATATACTAGCAATTGGCATGGTGGCAACTAGGACATGGGCCATTGAAACACCCCAACTTCCTTCTGCCTCCTAATAGGTAATATTAGTAATGCATTTGTGGGGGTCAAGGAGTTGTTATGGGGCAGGGATGGAGGCCCATGCTGGTCTTGCCTCTATTATCAGCGACCTTTCCCACATACTTTCAAAAGCCTGAAAGGGTTCCAGTTTGTGTGGTCCCAAGATGGATCATACTCCTAAGATCTAGCAGAAAAAGTAAGAAAGAGGGCGTTTGCTTTGCTCCTGTAGGAGCAAATTTGACATTTTCTTCCTTAGGAAAATGACCCTCTTAGAATGATTTTTTTTATAGGAAATTCTATAATCCCGTTGGAGAGCCAAAAAAATACTGCATTCTTATATTACTTGCCAAAACGTTTAGACCCAGAAAGCAATTTTTCGGAGCACAGTGGTGTGGACTTAGGGTTGATCTGGACTGGGCCAAGCCAAAACCAAATGAAAAAGAACAAGAAAAAGCAGACCGGTACTGGCCCTCGGACCACAGTTTGTAGTCTAGACCCTACTTTTTAGGGCTGGGCTGCCCGCCCATTATAAGGCTTTCCGCAAATGTACACTTTGCGCCAGTGGGAGCATGAAAACTTTCCATAAAAGAGCAATTTCTTTAACCAAAGTTTTCTTTGCATTGGCGCTTGTGTGCTTTATTATTCTGCTCTTGATTAAATTTACATGTCCTAAATTGTGTTCATTTGATCAATAATGTTCATTGAGGTGTATTCAAATCACCTAACAAATCAAATGCTATATTAATCTGTGTTCACTAAAGGAAGAATATTATTTAATACAAAACTCATCCAAGAGTGCGAGTAACTCTTTAACAAAATTGTACCCTTCACATTGGTTATCAAGCGGGCCACTTTTTCTGGAGCGCGGTCCAGGATAACCGAGTCTCGTTAATTTATGTTGTTATTTCGAAATGTCCGCTTCCACTGTTGTTTCACCTCCCATCCCAAAAAGTAATATTGGCTTTACGAGCGTAGATGAGGAAGCAACGAGCAAAGCCCCAATGAGTTTTGCCGTTAGTGCAATGAGTCAATAAAAGGAGTTCGGTCATCAGCGCAACCAACGTAAACTCAACATCGAACCATTTTTGCTGCACGAGTTCAGTTGTTAGCGCAACTACAAGGCCCTCGTTGTTTAGGGCATTTTGTTGCTGCCTTGGAAGGGACCTTGTGCAGTACATTCACTGTGATATAATTTCATTGAACTCAAACACAAAAAGCAAGAGCAGAGAAAAATTGATGAAGAAACACCCCTAGGCTTTTCTGTTTCCTGGAAAGAAGCTTAAAACCACCCTCGCATGGAAGAGAAACCAACTAAGAAAATGCTTCTGGAGATAGTCAAGGAGTAGAACAAAGCTGCACCCAAGCAAACTCCTCCTTGTAGGTGGGGCCAGTATCACACGAAGATCCACAAGTGTGAATGACGATTGTCGCCCAATCGATCGAGTCATCATCATTTTTAACATGAAAATAATAGAGCAGTTGAGGCAATACCTGCAAAAGAAGCGTTTCAATTATCATTATCTTTTCAAGAGTAATTCCTAATTATAATGATTTGAGCACGATGAAGCCAAATTAAGGTACACATGCACAGTTCAAAATAAATAAACATTTGCAAAAGTCTTGTTTGTGGCCACAGAGAGAGAGAGAGAGAGAGAATTGATAATAGGTCCAATGGAATTACACCCAAATGGTTTGATTTCTAACTTTGTAAAAATCATCATAATAATAAACGGCGCAGATCCAAAAGGTGTGGGACATGGAAAGGATTTATGAGGGCAAATATCTCACTTACTCCCAAAAATCTCCTTCCTTTCATCATAACCCCTCCCCTTTATTTTCCATCAAGGGGTGTAAAAAAAAACTCGAAAGATCTCAACCCACACCCCAAGCCCGTGCCTCCTTTAATTTTATTTATTTATTCTTTTAATTTATCCTGAATAATCTACCTTAACCCATTTAGGGCTTAAGACACATCAGGGGTCAGCATCATCTCTTTGTTTTAGTTATGGTCGGGTGAACCATGCATCTACAAGATGAAGTTCCCTGGTGTATACTATTTGCAGAGGACATAGTGATGATTGCTGAAATTAGAGATGGCATGAATGCGAAGTTAGAACTTTAGAGCAATGATTTAGAATTTAAGATTTTAAAATTCACCGGACAAAGACGAAATATATAGAATGCTTGTTTAGTAACAATAAGAGCAAAAACAAAGAGTTAGTTAAATTGATGCCAAGAAATAGCTAAATATTTTCAGTCGATAATCCATGAAAAAAGAGATTGAGGAAAATGTTGCTCATAGAATTAGAGGTGGGTGGACAAAGAGGTGATATGCTTCTCGAGTCTTATGTGATCGTCGCATACCAATGAAACTAAAGGGTAAGTTCTAGAGAGCGGCTATAAGACCAATCATGTTTTATAAGACGAAATGTTAGGTAGTCAAGAAATAACATATTTATATACTGAGTGCAGTTGAGATGAAGACGTTGAGATGGAAGAGTGACAAGAAAAGGAACGTTAGAATTCAGAATGGATACATTTGAGAGAAGCTCCAATAGGCCAAAAGATGGGAGAAAGTACAATTAGGTGATTTAGTCATATGCAATATCAACTTAGAACAACAAAAGTTATAAGGGTGATTTGGTTCAAGTGGAAGACCTCAAAGGACATGGATGAAAGCAATAAGAATATATGGTGACTTGTATGACCATTAATAAAGTGGAATGGTGGAACAAGATTTGTGTAGCTGACCCCAATTAGTTGGGATAAGGCTCAGATGGACAAACCGATGTAGATCCTCTCTCCCTTTCCTTTCTTAATCTAACCTACCCTATTCAACCTATTCCCGATAATCTCCCTGTAATTCTTCGCAGCCGGCCAGTAAGTGAGCTCTCTCTCTCTC